GAGTACGTCTGTCTGTTAGTGTATGTGTGTGTGTGAAAAGGAGGAGGAGGAGGATGAGGGAGAGGATGACTTGGACGACGTGGGCAGTTGGAAGTGGTACAGTCGAGTTGGATGATTGTAAGGGAAGGTGGTGGGCGCGACTGTCTTTTGGGGTGCCTGTCGAGAGGAGGAGGGGGGAGAGGCTCGGATCGGGCCCGAGACGGCGAGTGGGTGGGCGGGGGTGCCGAAGGAGAGCCTCTTCATTCGGAGGCCCTCGACAACTGGTTCGCCTCTGCCGCGTCTGCCGCCTCAAGCGACTACTCGACACGACTTGTGCCTCGTCAGACCGCCTCTTCGTCCACTCCGGCCGGCACAGACGCGACTGCACCTTCGACCGACGGCGTGTTGGCTCCCTTCTCGCCCGCCCCGTCGTCAGACGACAACGACAGCACAACACCCCCGGTTGGCGTCGACACCCGCGTCCTGTTGCGTCGCCACGTGCGTGCCTAGTTTTGTGTCCGTGTGCACGTCCGTTTATCCTCCGTCTGTCCCTCCGTCCGCCCCGTCTCACCTACACGCGTCCATCCGTCCGTGCCTCTGCTAGTCTGTGTGTATGTGTAGGTGTGTGTGTGTGTGTGTGTCAGTGTGGTCTGTCGGTCGTGCGAGTGTGTGCAGGTGTGCAGGCGGCGTGTGCAATCGCGTTGACGTTGAGTTGGCGAGACGTAGGGCAATAAGTGTCTGTGAAGAGCCCTTTCGTCGGGCACAATGGTGCTCAAAACGGTCACTGTGGTCGCGATAAGTGCCTTCTTACGAATGGCCCTTAACGACGATAACGAGCCTGAATAAGTGTCCTCGAGCCTTGACGGCCGGGACGACAGCGCGCCTCGCCGCGTCGACAGCCGCGCGGCCTGTCCGCGGGCTGCCAGGCGGGCCCGGCTGAGTGGCGCCGTTGCGCTGTCGCGGTGTCGGCCTGTCGTTCGAAGCGGGCCAGTCCCGTTTCACCGGCCCGCCCGACTGGTTGGGCTGTCCGGCGGCCTGCCGCTGGCGAGGCCTCGAGCCGCCTGCCGATTGGTGGAGGCTGGAAAAGCGCGACAAAGCCTGCTGGACGGCCTGCAATTGGATTGGTCGACTTCGAGTGCGTCGTCGCCTCTCAGCCAATCAGAGTTGAGCCTGCCCTCTTTAACCCGTTCACCGCCCGGCCTGCACATACACCCTCGCGACAAGTACACTTGGAGAGCCTCCGCCTCTTATCGATTGCTCTACAAGTGCCCGCCCCCCAGTCTATCAAGCCAATGGGCTCTCTCGGAATCCTCTTCAAGCCAACGGGCCGCTTGACTTTTGCACCCTTTCGAGGCTGCACCAAGCCAGTCAGTGAAGTGGGACTCTTTAATACCTCAACTCTCTCTCTCTCTCTCTCTCTCTCTTGCGCAGATCTCGAGTACCTTTCGATGATGCCGATGCCGATGATGATGATGATGATTATGGTGGTGGTGGTGGCGGTGAGAGATGGATTCGACCTCAGTTGAAAGACGCGGAAAAAGCCAATTTGCCAATCCGAGTGGAGAAGGTGAGTTGGAGGCGGATGTGGCAGAAAGTTGAGCATTGACTGGGACCAGGCCTTGATCCGTCGGGGTGGTGAGGCTGGGGTGATTCAGCTGAAGCAGGCAAGAAATGGGCCTTCTTGGCCCCGCCTCGAGGAGACATCGTCTGTGCCCGGTAGGCCGACACACGATCCACTCGAGCACAACAATAGCCACAAAGTTGACCAAGATGGTGCCGCTTTCATGCGTCCTCGCGAGCCCGACACAAAGTTGGGTCGCCTCGCTTTCCCAACTGGGTTGTGTTGTCAGGGCGTAAGCGCCTTGTCCGAAATCCCCTGCCAGTGGGGGCACAACTCGGTGATACAATCGGCGAGAATGTCGACAAGCGCCCGACAATGTAGCGATTCCAAAGAACGAGGGAAAAAATTGCCACGACTACGGGAGCAGAGGACTTACAACATGGTTCACTCATCAAAAGTGGCCCTTAATTGTTGATAAAGTTGGAAAAAAGAGGTCAAATCAGTCAAAATCGCAAAGACATTTGAGTCGTAAATCGTGGGTTTTTAAACAGACCCTCAGAATTATCTACTAACAATAGTATGAATCATTCCAAACTATAATAATAATAATAATAATAATAATAATAATAATAATAATAATAATAATAATAATAATAATAATAATA